TATGGCACAGATGCATTCACTCTGTGTAATCTCACGTATCTATTCAACTCATGTTGTCACTATTTATTTTCCCTCAAATTTTCGCTCGTTAAACTTCCATTTAGTTTTATGTCTCTACCTTTGTGTAGTGCATGGAATGTGGTAAACTGAACAGTTGGACTTCTTTGCAAAGTCATACTGAAAGTCAGGCAGAATGACACAGACTAGGCATAACTAAATGCGAAACACTGAATAATGGTCTCCAGAATGTCAACAAATGATAATTGCAGTTCTTAATCTTGTTCTTTGCTAAATTACTCGGAACCGAAAATGGTGCGAACTACTCCACTAGATGTAATACCCTAGGACTAGAAACACTATGGCTAAGACGTCTGAGACTAAACTTGACACTTTACTATAAGCTTCTAAACCACTTAGTTTTTACCTCTACTAATGGCACTCGACTTTCAGTTGACAATGACTACAAACTAAGACGCACTAAGGGTACAGTAGCGATCGAACAATGTAAAACAGCCACCAGGCAAAAGTTTTACTTGATTATGTATGCACAGATATGGAATAAACTACCAATGGAAATGCGTCAAGCAAGTACATTGGCCTCCTTCAAAAAGGTGCTTAATGACAAACTACAAGAGTTTGCAAACAATACTAGTTCTAGTTCCTATCTGAGAGCCTCCGAAATTATAGGTCCATTTAATGTATAAGCTTAAATACTACACCTGTTGTTTTTTGCCTATATTTATAATTCTAGATAAAACATTAACGGTTAAGATACGTATCCTCAAACAGACAAGAAATCTCGTTTGTAAAACTACTACCCAACACAATGAGTGGAATAAAATGGCCATAAACCGACAACATAAGAAAGGTATAACTCACCACAACATCACATGGACAGATGTACGCTCGTTGGGCACCATATATCCCTCACCAACTGCAACCCACCTTTCCTTAGATAATGTGATGAACTTATATCCATAATGTTGCTGAGCAGTTAATATTCTCAACTCCTGTCGGAACAGCTGAAATTCACAAACCTTCCTCACGCTAAGAAAATACCCACAAGCAGTAGAAATCCATTAATTAATGCGTCTAAAGCTTATGTATATTTACTCCCAACAATGACATTGCAGATCAAATGAGATAAACATATCACTGATTTCAAAATAACACATCAATGAACTATAATTCAAGGATTCTGCACACAACAAAGTTATGTATGAAAATTGACTTCAAGCTTTATTTTTTCCCAGGCACTTATAATCCATCCACCAAAGACCTGGTTTTTTTGTTGATGCGAAGACAATACCTCTGTTTTTCCTGATGTGTTGCACTCACTGACAATCTAGCAGATTTTTCCAACTGTGCACAGAAATGATTGTATATAAGTGAAAAGGCTCTTTTATACTACTGGGATTAACATTAATCAAGTGTATGTATAATCTCCAGCGAACGTGTAAGGCATATCTTGCTACTGCCTGTAAATTGTGATTGAATTATATGGTTCTATTTCTGTAACAATTTGATGATGCCTGTAAACTGGCGTCTCTCATGTACTGTACTATGAGAATAAATTTATTTATTTATTCATGTGCGTAAAGAGGGAATATATTATTGTAAGACGCATTTTATTGTTTTATGAGGGACTTGACTTCAAGCTTTATTTATTTTCCATCCAACTCATACTTGGTTTTTTTTTGTTAATGCGAAGTCAATGTCTCTACATTTCTTGGTGTGTCCCATTGAATAACCAGTTATCCGATTTTTCCCACAAAGGGAAGATAAAATGACAGCAACCATGTTATTTAACCGTAAATCATGTAATTTAAATATGTAACTTAAATAATACTTATCCATGGCTTTACAACTTGTGTGTCCTGCATTTGTAGGAATAATTATGTACCTTATTATATTATCATTAGTGACTATACTTACTATTCGTATGTGTAATTTATCGAATTGATGATGCCTGTAAATTGGCGTCCCTCATGTACAAAAATGAGAATATACTATTATTATTATTAAATGACAAATAAATACCTTTCAGTAACCTCTTCATCCACCCGGGATTCGTCTCCTACTTTGCAAGTGTTTTTCGTGCTTTATCACTTTTGTGCTAAGCTTTAAGTTATTCAACATATGCCGTTATTGACTAAGGACCTAGATGATATTAGTTGAGTAAGGTTTCGGCCGTGCAAACACGAGTCCTGCGCAGGTGATTGGTTGCATTATCATTTCCCAAATGGTATACAGCATACTGTATATTAGGGTAAGTCTTCCGCCTTGCTTGCTGAAGGTTGTGTTCCTCAGGGTACTGTCATCTCTCCTTTTCTTTTTTCTCTCTCTTGTCTTACATGACTTTTCTCTTTCTAATGAGAGCAACTTCGTCAAATACGCTGGTGATCTGACCGTTTCACTTCCTATCATGTCACAATGTGTTACCAGGAGGACTTTATTTTTGAGTTTATTTGTATATATACTATTGCGCATCGAGTTGCACTGCGATTCCACATGTAGCAGAAGATTATGAATACCTTGCTCTTCTCTTCTGCATAAGAAAGTTACTTCACAAGAACCGCTATATTTAACTCAGTAAGGAAAAATATGAATTTCTCCACTTCAGTGTTGTGAGTTAATTTGTGAACTGTGTAGGCCCCTAAAGTAATGCATTTGGCGTGCATGCTGAATAGTGAAATCAGGAGTGTGCATGTTGTACTAAATCTTCTGCGCTTTCTGTATGGATTCCATGTTCATGAATTGACCACTTAAAAACTGAGTGTTGCATGTGATCCAGCTGGAATTATAACTGATATTTCCAAGAATGATATAATACAAGGCTCATTTCTACAACTGCCGTCCTTATTTCAGCTCACTTTCATCATACATGTATTAACAAAATTGTGTGTCACTCACTTCAGGGACTTACCAGGGAAAAGTCTTGTCAACTTAGTGTTTGCTAATGACATTGTCCACCTAGGTTGTGAGAAGTGACCATTGAAACTGGAAGATACGAAAAGACTACTGGTTTTTGATCGCAGTGTCTGTGCCCTTTCTTCTGTGTTAAGTAGTCTAAAATGGTGAGTAATATTGGGGTGAAGCTTAGTGTTAAGTAGAAATGTGACTTCAAACGTTTTTTGTAACACAGATGCATTCACTCTGTGTAATCTTACATATCTGAGCAACTATTGTGTTCTTTCCATATCACTGTTCGTTTTCCGTGACATTTACGCTCATTAGAGTTCCATTTGACTTCTATTTTCTCTACCTTTGTGTGCTACATGGAATGTGATAACGTAAACAGGTGCACTTGTTTGCAAGCTTCTCTGTTGAAAGTCAGTCTGTCAGAATGATCTATAGTCCAGGTATAATGAAATGCTAAAACGTGGATAAAAATAAGCAAAATGTCAGCAAATGATAATCGCACTTTTTTATTCGGTTCTCGTCTAACTGAAAAAGAGTTGTCCTACAATAATTTCTCCTCCTACTCGAGATAACTTTTACACTCTGTCCCGTTACATCTCAAAAGTTGCACTTCTCCACCGAGTTCCATGTTAAAACTCAGTCAGTCGGCTTTGTCACTGCAGCTGCCTAGTGTCACAACTCACTACAGTGTCAATTGGCACAAACAATTATGAATGCCGTTTCTTAAGTACTCAATGCATTTCCCAATTCCTTAAATTGTCCAGATGAAGTGCACTTAAGAAAACATAAACCAAAAGTCAGTAACATGGACATAAGAATTAGTGCTAATAGAAGTGAATTAGATGAGTGATTTTTTAAACCTTTAGTACGCATAACTGAAATACTCATGTATCATTCACAAGATGCTTGTATCACAGAGGGCACTGAAACATAAACTAAGTCTAACATGAAATACCTTGGAGATGTTATTACTTCGTAATATGAGATACAATAATGTACGAGATGCTGCGAATTCAACACTGAAACATTAATACTGTATTCGAACAAAGCAAATTATTATTACTGTTGCACCTCGCTGCAGTGTTAATCTGCTTATGCCCTTATTATTGCTGTATCCTAAGTATTGCACTCATTTTTCATTCTTGCACTGTGTAAATAGGGTGCAACGAAGAAGTTACAGTGAACTACAAGTAGGTAAAGCTGACGCAAGAAACGGTAGCAGTCGAAAGAAATGAAATGAGTTGAAGACCTTGTAATAATACTAGTAATCTCCCTTATTCCGAAACAGTACTTGACTTATTTACCTATGCATTTTAACGTGTCTTCTAATTATCTTATTTTTGTCTTTGCAGACATTGCCTAAGACGCCGTTGTACGCATCGTCTGGAAGCAGTCTTTAATTTCATCTACCTTTTGCGAAGTTTGTCATACGAAACATCGAAATTTTACTGACTGGAAAACGCTACAATTGGTGTTACTCATGCGGCGATACGACAGACTAGACACGTTATAGCAACGTATGCCTGCAATAACATTACCTACATAGTAAATACAATGCTAGTTACAAAAACTCGTCATTATCTTTTCATTGCGTATTTACAAGAAAAAACGTTCATCTTACTTCTCATACTAAGTACTGGAGATTCCGCCTAGTACTCACTTTTACTTGCTCTCTAGAAAATGCTTTCTACTGTATTCGCAAATGACTATTAGACTTCTGTCACATGAAACGGTGAAACATAAGGCGTATGCAGTTTAGAAGTTAGGGTATATTTGCATTTATTGACACAAAATTTATGTACATCTTCCATTATTATACAAGAAAGTTCTCAAAGTAATTCAGAGTTGCTCGCAGTGCACTAATAGTATATTCATTACTATAATTATCCTGCATAACTGCGAAGCTTCTGTTCAATTGCCTGCGAAGTTACAGTATCTCCATGCAGGGTTTCTTCACTGAACCTTCACACGGCACACGACTTGGTAGCAACGGATCCTGCCAAAACCATCTGCGATACAGGCGAGTTACTTTGTCAACTAAAAATATTAATCTAAATATTACTAAGAGTTTGATTTACCTGTAAACTGAGGAATTTGAGTGTGACATAGCAGCATATGCCGGCAAGGTATGCTTTGTGCTCTAAATATTCTGCAGGTACAAGTAGAATTGGTATAATCCACTTGGTGCAGGTATATGCCGTCACCACCTCTCCATATTTCCGATATAACTGAACCTGTGATTCCAGGGCGAAGCAAATTCTGCTGGTTATCCCTGTATTCGAATCCACGTATTCAACCACCTGACCGCTTTGCCTTATTATGCGCATAACATCTGATCTCAAAGGCATGGCTTCAAAAATAACTTTAAACTACTTCAGTTACCTGGTCTCACATCCTTACGTAAATTATACACATCTGTGCTCGTCAAAACTTTATTAAAATTCTCTTCAGCATATTCCAAAACATCAGCAACCTCAGATGTAGTCTTCACAACTGGTGCAATATTCTCGTTTTCATCCCCGGACAGGCATCTAAAATATGGATCACCTATCATAAGACTTTTTTCACATCTGTGATTGTGAACTGTTTTCGCGGAAGAAATGATAAACTCGTCCTCCTTGTAGCGTATACGAAAACCAGATTGGCAACCGGTGTATTTTGCACTGCAGAAATAAATAATAGAATTCTTACGGTTTGACGCGTAAACCTGAACCTCTAGTTTTTCGCTTCATGCCATATGTACAACGAAAGACTACTAATTTGTACTTCAACTCCTGAGATTCATGGTCCCGTATGCACTTTTTGATTACATAATGTGTATGAGTTGCCTAGGAATACTCTGTCATAGATATATATTACTGATTCCAGCTGACTTAGAGCATCTTCTACTTGAACCCAACTGGTATACCGGTGACTAAACATAATTCCGTCAAAAGGTTTTTTGATATCCACTGATATAAGAAGGGCAGGTTGGTCGCCATTGTCTCCAAGTGCCAATGCGTCCATTCGGTACCACTGTAAATGAAAACAGAAGCTTTTCAATAAAAAATTCATGAATAGCCAACAGAGTACAGTAAGCAACTTAAAAGAGACATTGACTTGGAAACTATAGCGGAAAAAAATATAAATTCCTTACCACAGTTACCGTTTTGGAAAGTTCCTGATTATAGCCATAAACATTTACTGAAACACTCGTGAACGACAAATATGGACACAAGTGATGAAACGAAGCTCTACAGAAATCATTGAGACGCCACAAACAGGAGGATTTTAGGTGCACCCTATAATTTTCACATGAAACACATTCTCAAGCATCCTCCTGCACCATAAGTGCCTTCAGGCCTAGAGGCAGCTTTTGACGACTATTCTTAACAAAATCAATACAGTTCAAGCCAAACAGAAACCAGAATCACGTCAAATGCAGCTACCTAGATCAAACGGAACAAATCAGCCAAACTGAAATCAACTAGACCGCGCAAATGTCCTCAAGGTAAAGCTGGAGGCGCCACTTCAAACAGGGGATATGCCTTATCAAGGCAGCCTGTAGACGGCCGTAGGTCATTTGATCAGCTGATGTCTAGCGGCTTTATTTAATGAAAAAACTTCGAAAATAGGTGATTTTTCGTTGTTTTACACACTTTTACACCTATATTGCTGCTAAAAGTTGATGTAATAAGGCGTTTTTAGCATAAACGGGAAATGATGGTGTCCTTATCCGGCCGTAATTTACGGCCAATTTACAAATTGTTGAATTACGTACTTTTCCGTTCGGAAAATGTCGAATTACTTGAATAGACATATTATAACGACTTTTAGTGAATTTTTTTTGCAGTTTAAAGGATTATACATGGACATGATGAGGTGGGATAGTTGGTTTTGTTGATTATTTGATTTACTTTGTTGTTTACTTTTGCTAATGCTGTCAAAGCTCCTGTACATGTATTTCATTAAAGTAAATCTACAGAAATACTTAGAAATTATATACGCATAGTATTTACTCATTTTATAGCACATACTTGATGTTTACAGGTAGATGCAATATCCATTTTTTCTTCTTGAAAAATATTGACTGATGTAATTGTGTACAATTAAACTGATTATTTCATCATTTTAAACATGTTAAGTAGTTATTTATTGCATTTACAGTGGTAACAATGTCTACATCTTTAGAATTGTTTTGTTCTTTTTCAGATAATATCTACTTTCGGGAATTTCATGGATTTGGGCGATAAAGAAAAAAATATCTGCCGTGTTTTTGATTATGTATTACATGTTTATTCATTAATAAATGTATTCCTCGTAATTCGTTTGTATATTCTAGTTGATAAAGCTGATTTCTAGCATTTGCGTAATTTGTGAGGTACGGAGTATATGACGTGATCTTAGAAATGCTAGGTAAAATTAGATATTTGGAGAGGCTTATTGATAAAAAGATTATGTCGTGCCGTAATGAAGTTACTGCGTCCACTTGTAAAAGAAAACATTGAGGTTATAAGCGCTTAGTTATATATCGTCTTAGTAGGAACCTATTAATTGACTTCGGATTCATAGTCAAACAAGGTTAAAAGTAAATCTACCTGAGATAGTGAGTTTGCGATTTCTACTTATCGTAATAAACCAAGATGGGAATAATGTACCTATACTGTTAGATTTAGAACTCAGTGCAACTACGGTTATCGTAATAATTAAAAACAGAATGCCTACTATTGAAATACAATTATACTTCATTAGAATACCTACGGTTCGCAGCTACAGAACACGGTACGTTGCTATCTGTTCATGTAATCGCGTAAACAACAGTTTCCCAGACGCCGCATTTACTCCTAAAAGTTTGCCCTTAATTCCTAACTTAGCACGTGTTACTAACGTCACTGGAACACAATCGCGTTACAACAGAAGGAACACAGATTCATTAAAAAAAGTGTTTATTAAGCAAAAATTAGATTTGAGATGTACAGATAATTCACATGAGTAGTCCTCCGTCACTGTCAGTAGGTTTCATCTGCGTACCAGCACATATATGTTTCTCCATAAGCCTGAAAAGGTTTAAGAAAAGCATTATTAACTTAGGTGGTACATGTATGATCTGAATAAAAAATGTTTCTTCATAAGCATTTACAAGTAATCACTTCACAAACAATATATATAAGTAGCTAAATAGTTTTCACTAAACTCAAGGGACTTCACAATTTATCGTCGGTCGATATCTAGTAGGTCCATCGAAGCATCATGAAATAAAAAATTATTTAACGACAAGTTATGCAATAGTTTCCAAAGCTTGAACAAAGATTTTAACAAAAGTGACAACAGCTTTATGACAAATAATACGAGTTCTGACAGCATTAATAATAATAACGTTCATGTTCATAGTGACTATAAAAGCAATAACAGGTATTATTATCGCAACGAATTCATCATTAACTTAGATAGACAACTACTTATTATACAATCATTTCAATTAAATGTATCACTTAATCTTATGAAGCAGGTGTTTACTTACTTTCACTGCATTCTCGCAATACTGATGTGGTCAACTAGCTTATTCCAAATGAACTCAAGATTAATCCTGAAAGGGAATGGACACCCAGTTTATTTCAACTAAAAACATGTAGCCTACATGCATTACACTGCTTACTGAGACATTTGATACCTGCTTTCCGATCTTCGTGACAGGAAAACAGTAAATGTAGGTTTACCTACATATACTGTTTTGATCTTGATATGGGATGAATTCATTGAATTCAGCAAATAAATCCTCTGGTTTATCAAATCCATCATGAGCTGTAATAGTATGTGCTGTCAATTATGCACCCGACTTGATAAAACGCTCCTGGCAATTGCGAACTTAACCAAGCAGTTAAACGATGTTTGAAATTACCGCAGGTCGAATGACAAACTGGCCAATCACAAGCGAGCAAATCACTTGTTTATCTCACTCGCGGGCACTCAAAATTACGGCCGTCGACAGGCTGCCCCTTATCAACGCCCCAATTGCTCAAATGGAACCCAAACGGGAAGTATCGGGTGACGCGGTACGTTCAACGTTTGCGTTACATTTCTGCGTGATTCGTTACATAGAATTTATCTTGTTGTAATCCTTGCACAAGTACTCTACTACCTCCATACCTGCAACCATTAACTCTCATATTAAGTAGTTGTGGTTAATCAAGGTCAAAAGCAATGACCTCAATCTCCTGTAAATCTGGTGACTAATTTTAAGTCGCTGATTGCTACATCAAGCAACATACTCCCTACAAACGGTTATAGTGAGCCACATAACTCACTTGTATGCCGTAAGCATCGAGCTGGAATTGAGAATAAAACTGTACTGACAGCTAGTATTAGAACCACTCCGAAAGATTCAGTACCCTCTGCTCATACAGAAACCCTTCCTACACCTTATGTGCTTATCGAAAAACTTCAGCCTTCAAGCTCTGTTTCAGTACTATCTTCAGAAATAGAACTTCTAAAATTGTCTATAGGAGAACTTAAGGCCGAGTTAAGGGAAATAAAGAACAATAAGTCCGTAAATCCTGGAATTTCTGAAGGCAATACCAAGATATCCAAATTATCGGATCAGATCGCAGGTCTGTGAACTGACACCTTTAAATATTCTCATGAAAACTGTAGACCTTAACAAACTTGACACGGAATCAGTATCTAAGGTGGATAACCTCATTAACTTTGTTGCCACAGAAGTAACAAAACGACTCGACGCTAAACTAAATGCTATTGTCTACAACGTTCCGGACAATGAGGCACTAAAAAGGGTACAGCGCATCTTACTTAGTGAGGCGAAAATGTCCAACTCCCAGACTAAGTGCTACAGGCTGAAGAAGAGTCAACAAGAAAAGTGTTGTCCTATTCGTCTTCAGTTGGAAACACCGGCAGAGACCAGAAAATTCATCCACTCCCATCACACCCTATCGCAAGCCAGAAACTGCAAACTAATGAAGGTTGCGGTGGACAAGACAGCCATAGAAAGGCGCGTATATAGTTATCTCACTGAGTCTAATTGTGGAATAAACAATAGGACATTGCAAGCAGCAATTATACCCAACCCTTTGAGAGATGACGTAGAATCCACCGCACCACCCCTCTCAAACCACACACAATTGTCCTCTCAGAGAGCGACACCAACCGAAAGGCCACAAGATTGCAATCAAATAGCCAATAAAACTATACCACCTATCACCGTAGATATAGACATGTCACCAAATAATCCCGGAAAAGAAGTCAAAATCCCCCGAAAGTCGACCCTGTCCTCTCCTAGCCATAAGTCTATCGGTAAAAAAGGAGAATATGACCCCAAATCATGCCAACAACAACAATGGTAGTATAAATAAACCCACATTCCCCACGGTCAATAGTATTGGCACCCACTACGTGCGAAATAGCACCATGGCCCACACTGATAACCAACGCCAAAACAATGCCACCCTCAATAGTACAAGTGGCAATAGTCAGAACTCGACCACCAACAACTCAGGGTATTCACAGTATGGCACATAAATAAATTTTGATCAGATATATGGTACAAGTCTGCTGTGAACTAACCCACAAAGCAGTACACACGAAACCCGTACAAGGACACAACTAGTATCTAACAATAGGTGGAATAATAGACCATGGTCTTCACAAGGTCCTAATCATTTTTTATCCCCTGCGTCCCTGTCAGCGTTGAAAAAACAGCTGGTAGGGATGTTAACACTCCTAAACCGCTAGTGCTGGCTCCCCCTTTGCATGAATATAGGAACAGTCTAGTTCACCCGCATCCATTAGGCACACCTGATAAATGCACAAGTTCAGGTCAAATAAAGATCTCTACCCACGTTTCCAGCTTAACTGAAAATAAAAATGCCTTAGCCTATAGCAAATCCAGTACTCCAACGCTTAATTCTTCACCGAAAACAGCACACACCAACTCGATAGACATAGATGAGCATGATGTTGAAACTCCTCTTAACATAGGGTCGTCATGTCAAACAGTACTACTGGGTGCTGAACCACATTCG